CGCTAATACAAAATTTACGCAGGGCGGCCTTTGCTATAAGCAATTTCTTACAGGCATCCCAGTGGGACAATAGAAGCTAGATAAAGGGTATTTAACACATATAAATGTATGGTTATTATATGCTGTTATATTATCAAATGATTCTGCTTTTTATCTATGTTAAAAGTATGTATTAGCAAAACCAATGCGCATTTCAGTACAATAAATCCCTACAATTCAAATTCTGGGTATAACGCATAATTTAACGCCTATAACGTGGATATTTCTAACAATTTTTAAGGAACACCCTATAATCCTATTCATAAATCGCGTTATAGGGATTCCTATTATAAAGTATTGATCGAAGAAAGATTTTTTCTATGACACCTTGGTTTGATTGTTTACATAATAAAATCTTTATCGAATTCGACTAAATAACTTATTGTTTTTAGATCGTGGGCATCAACACGGACCTGCCGCAGAGTGCGCCAGTAGCTGCAGACGACGCATTCGACCCGGAGACTATCAAGCCCACGCCCACTCCCACGCCATCCTCCGCCCACGCCCACGTTGCTACCCACGTGACGCCCACGACCACAGCCACGCCCACGCTCGCAGAACGCGACTCAAAGAGATGTATCCTTATGTAAGCTCTAAGCTACCTTTTGATGACTTCAATGCTTAGTAAAGTGAAAGAGACAGATATATCGGAAAGTATAGGAGTAAAAGAGAGAATTCTTTAAAAAATGTAAAATGCGACAAGATATTCCGTATAGAGGAGTAATAGAGATAGATGTTTGATGATGTGTGAAAGAGACAAAGATAGATCTAAAATATAGGAGTAAAAGAGAAAGAATAAAGAGTGATTTTTGTACAAAAAGGACAGGATATAACAGTATAGTGAGAGATAGAGATTGATGTTTGATATTGTGTGAAAGAAACAACGATATGTCGTAAAGCAAAGGAATAAAAGCGATAGACTCCATTCTGTGATGTGTGAAAGAGACAAAGATATACAGCAAAGTTAGAGAGTAAAAGAGATAGAATTTTTTGAGTGAGTGTGAAAGAGACAAAGAGATGTCTTTAAACGAGAGAGAAAAGGATAGAACTGTTCTATGGAGTAGAAAAATGTATGAAGTCTTAAAGGTTCGTTATTTAAAATTAAAAGTCGTTTAATTAAAATGTCGTGTAAATTATGTTTTGGCGTCCAAATACAAAATACAATTACTTTCAGGTAGATTGTTATTTTATAGCATTTGAATAAATCAAAAGGATAAAGTTTGTGCTTTAATATAAGTTAAATATATTTTAGTATAGATATAAGGTTCCTATGTAAACTATCGTAACCCACGTTTTGGCAATTTACACCATGTATTTAACGTAAATATTAATTTCTGTATAAATTTAAGAGTTATATTAGTAAAAGGATTTGTAGATTTTGGTTGTCCATTTATGTCCGGTACTTAGAAATCGTATTGAAAGTTTTGTTATAGTAAAATTTGCATTTTAAACCTACGACAGTTTACGTAGGAGCCTTTAATCGAGAGTTCTTATTGCGGTAATGTATGAAAACATTTTTATATGTTCAATGAAAATTCTCGATAATCTTTATGTTTTCAAGTATTTGCCCATTTGTACCGAATATAACAAAATTGTGTCGAAAATGTGTCGATTTTGACATAAAGACATACAAAATCATCTGTATATAAAATTTAGTTTGTAAGTTTAGTTGTTAATCATGTTTTTAATAGTTTTCTATAAATAGTACTAAGACTTTCATGCATTTTATACGTTTAACAAATATTAATTTTTCATACGGAACATATTTTGGATAAAATTTCATATTAGAAAAAGTAACAAATTTGAAAAACTCTCATACATCAGTATTTAGTCAAATCAAAAATTGTGTAAAAATGTATTTCCTTCCGCATGCATCTTACTTTAGACAGACAGATGTACGGACAGAGAAATAGACAAATGGACAAAGAAACAGACAAATTGACATAGAAACAGAGAAACGGACATAGAAACAGTCAAATGGACAGAGAAACAGACATATGGGCAGAGAAACAGACATACGGACTGAAATACAGACGTACGGGCAAAAAATAGACAGACAGACAGTAAAACAGACAAATGGATGTGCGGACAGAAAGATAGACGACGGAGGGATTGACAAAATAACAAATAGACGTACGAAAAAGATATAAAAACGGAATAGACTAACAGACAGACAGACGGATAGTAAAACCGACCAGAGAAAGTAAAAATTGTTCAAATTGTGTTTCTGTCAACACATGTGTCAGAAATAAGAAAATATCCTAATACATACAGACACTTGAATTATTGTTTATGTCTTTAGAATTCAATTTAATGTTTGAAATATGACGCAAATACGGATATTGCATCGTTTATTATAAATTAATTCATGCGTTCTTTAGACTTAAGTTTTGACACGGGAATGTGCATTCTCACAAATTTGTTTAGTTGTTTACTGAAACTTGGAATTTTAACAAATAACTATCTTAAATAACAAAAAATGACATATATTTGATTTTAAAGGTTTTAATGTTAAAAATAAGAAAATTACTGTAAAATTAAAAAAGCAAGGGTTTTTAATCTTTATTATTTAGAATTTAATGTTTGTTAATTGTCAATTGTTTACTTAAATTGAATTTACTTACCAAAATTAGTGTTTTAAATTTGACAATTATTAGTTTGTTATTATTCCAAGTTTTTTATTTTATTGTATTATTTCTTTATTGAATCTATGACTTGTCTATGGTTTACGTCATATGTCATAATTTTACTAAACGCCAGATTAATTTCATGACAATACAATTGGACCACCGATTATTGCCATATCTTGTTTCATACAAATTCACACATTCAATTTGTATGAAAGTAGTGTAGAAGTTCGTACACGCAACAGAGACAGGAAAAGCGTCGTCGTAACAAGAACTATTGCTGTCCCTTTTTATTCAGTAAGATTGAAAGAGATAGCTAATTGCAAAGATTATTTTCAAATTGTCTATGGTTCATAAAAAGCGAAAAATGTCAAGAATCAATATTTTATTGGTATCTCGTCTCTTAAATATTAGTTTGAAATATTTTTTTCTATCTACTTGATTCTATACAAAACGCGGGTATCAACGTTTAGTTTTAATTTGGTTTAATTTAAACTAAGAGTGTCCCATTCGGCCGATGATCGTCCCAACGGGAAATACCGTACATTTGGTAAATTTGTAAGTAAAACACTGCCTCGAATTGCAAATTAAAAGTTTTTTTCATAGGTTAAGACATTGATCTGTATAAATAGATAGGGTTTTGGCATGGGAATAACAACTATTGCTTTATCCCGACTTAAAACAATTTATGATGTTAATGAGTGTTAATTCTTTCTCTAAAAATAGTGAAAATGACAGCCAAAAATACCACATGTTACCTGTCTGTTTATACAGATCAGTGGGTTAAGATACTAATTTAACTTTGGCTTAGCTAGATTAAGAATGTCCACCCTTTTGTGGATACAATGGGTTTAAGTTGTATTGGCTAAGATTTGACATTTTAATAGTTTTTTTTTATTTTTATCCTGTAAAAAATTCTTGTTTAGGTTAGGACTAGATAAGTGTTTTTTTCTTCATCCAAATGAATCTAGTTCATTCTTCCAATGCTGTCTTTGAAATATTCCCTGCAATAAATGAAATAGTAATAATTTAGACGTAAATTAAATTACCACGTTAAATATCGTGTACACAATAGTGCTCACAACTTATTTTTCGATAAAATCCCTTATTTTACTTCAAACATTACGTTAGAGAGATCATATTTATGTTGAAAGAAATTATTTTTAAGTTTATTAATAAAATTTTTGTGCATAAAGTATTGTTTTTTTTTTCCCTTACCTTTACCTTTGTCATTTTAGTATTACTATCTTAACGAAAAATATTTGTATTCTGGGCATGAAAGGATGGGTCAGAAAACTTGTCAGCGGCATCTAGCGATGCTGTTGATAAAAAAATACGTTAGCTTCATCTAGCGATTCTGTTACAAAAATAAGACAGCACCGTCTAACGATGCTGTGGATAAAAAAAACACGATAGCTTCAAGCGATTTTGTTGCAAAAATAAGACAGCGCCATCTAGCGAAACTCTTGATAAAAATAGGATAGGGTCATCTAGTGATTCTGTTGAAGAATTACGATAGCTTCATCTGGCGATTCTGTAGCAAAAATAAGACAGCGCCATCTAGCGATGCTATTGATAAGAAATACGATACTAGTGATTCTGTAGAAAATATGTAACACAGCGCCATCTAGCGAATTTGTGATACTGCTTAAATTGAACCAAAACAAATGGAAGACTCCAGATATAAAAAATCTTACTTTATATTCGTTTGTATATCATTAAAATGACCACAGTAAGTGATGGAATATAAAAACATATTACGCATTGTTCCATTATCAAGCAGAGTTTTATCTGTGCGAACAGAAGTTTTACGACTAACATAACTTTTATATTACTTTAGATTTGATGGACTGCAATAATTTACTAGATTTATCGAAATTCACTTTAATTTTCTATCTATGTTTAATTAAATAACTTCTAAGAGATCTGAATTGATCAATTTATTGCCTAAATCTTATCAAATCAAATTGTTTTAAATGTTCGTACAATCGGAATTGAATAGTTTGTAAGTTGGAATGTGTCAGCAACCTTAAACTTTCAAGTGATGACGCAGTGGCGGTCAGTGGTCAGCGTGGTGACGGTAGCAACTGGCAAAAGGCAAAGGCTGTGGCAAACGCGGGAGAAACTATTGCATTTAATTCATTTACATGCCACGATTTAATTAAACACTATTACACCGATATTTATTTTTATTTGTACATTTCATATAGTTTTGTTACTACAGTATAAAATTAATTGTTCTGCATAATTAGTGTTCGATTTTTAATTTAATTTTACCTTTTTCCCTTTCATAAATCGACATATTCTATAGGCTAACCAGAAAAATAGAAAATTTCAACATGGTGCGGAAAAATTAAGGGATTTTTTTGAAAGCAGTGTTTCCAATCGGATCCGCTGAATTAATCCAATGGGATATTTTTTTCTATTGGACCGATTGATTCAACAAAAAGGATGCACTTAAATCGCTACTGCAAATTCAAAAGAGAAATCGTATCGTTGTCGTGTCGTCAGTTGTAAAAAAATAAAATTATCATAGGAGTTGTTGCCGAATTATGACAAACAGAAACAGCCAATCCACTCCAGTCGGCCAGTCGGTGCTTGACCGTCGGCTGAAGACGACGTATATGTGAGTTTGTTTTTCTTACCACGTATTATAGATCGCGTATTTGTTGGTGATTGTTTTTTTATTTAAATTGATGTTAACAAATTGTTAAGTAAGAAGCATCGTAAGAGAGGCAACAGTTGTTATTTAAGTTTAAATGTTACGGTTACTAGTATAATAGTGAAAGTTAAGATTAAATTGATTTTATAAAGTTTCTTATTATTTTCAAATAGATTGTAAAGAATGCAATAAACTTTTTCGGCGGTTCAATTTCGTAAACAAACCTTGCAACAAAGAACGTACATTTTGTAAATAACTGAAGGTATTAAAATATTTTAGTCTTAATGATTTGTCATATTTTAATTGCGATTTTATGCGGTCCTGGTAAGGGTTAGGGTGTGTTCAAATACTTTTTTTAAAATACTAACGTAATCCCATTCTGTGATAATACTTTGTAAAATTATCTTAATTAAATATGGTGATCGGTTAGATTATTTCCGAATGTTCATTTAATTGCACTAAGTATGTAATTAATTTATTATTTAATAAAAAAACTATTGTTACACACTTGGAGGTATTTATAATTGCAATCTGTTTAACTTCGCAGAGGATAGAGGGCGTTGAATTTCGCAGTCTGTGGTTCATTACAAAAAGTTTCAAAAATCATCATTCAGACCATCTTATAATACGAAAACATATCTTAAGCTTGTCTCATCTCTTAAAATAATATCTTAAATGTTAGTAAAACAAAATGAGTCACAGTTAAATAAAGCAGAGGTCCAACAAACTTGTATATGACTCATTCTTTGTTATATAAACTTGAGTACATAATATTTGACATTGAATAAGTTGAGTCCTTAGAGCTTTGCCTCTTTCTTTAGTCTTACCACACTCAAAATCTCATACAACTGCCTAAAAACCTCGTTTAATGATTACATAAACAGTCCCTAAGTCTCCATTTATGAGCTGCAGTTCGTAATATAGTTAGATGTATTCTATTTGAGAAAATAGAATTTGCTTTATGGAAATTTAAAGCAAACTATAAAAGGCATTCAAAAATGTTATTGCTCAAGCGCGCAAACAGATGTTTGTCAGAAATCATTCCTGTTGTTGTTTTCCTTTTAAAATGACCTTTTCCTTGGTTATTTCCTAAACATTGAAATGTCAAGATATTGCGTGTCTAGCTTGCAAAAAACTAGGGCTGTCAATTTTCAATATTAGTCCGGGACACTAGGAGAAAATTACCTTTGTCACCCTTGACTCCTTAACAGACGACTGAGACTCTTAGTGACTGTTAACAATCTTTGAACAAAATCCCTTAGCCGCATTATGTACCTACAACTTGATGAATCCAAGTAAAATTGGAAGTAGTGACAGCCTTAGTTCCAAACGGGGAAAGAACCGTATCTAATAGTCTCTTATTATCTATTATTATAGTTATAAATACTCGCCGTTATCCGTCAAATTAGCACGGAAGATAATCCAAGGTTTAAATCCATCATCAAAACTAAAGCAATGGCGAAAAAAGATTTGATTGATTGGTGTTCTATTTAACTTATCCACTGGTAAAATAATACTCTTCACATATTTAAAGGAAATATAAAAAAAAAAACAAAAAATAGCCAGAAATTTTTAACAACAAAACATTTCTGGCTATCCTGGACAATGAAATGTACTCGCCACTAGATGGCGTTATACAACTGGACCGTTATATTGACCGAAAGAGTTCCAAAAATACGCGAATGAACCCCTTTTCTGTATCTCATTAAGATAACGGTCAAGGAAGTTTGTTCATTTAAAATAAATCTTTGTAAATAATTGGGTAGAGAGTTCGTGTATCTCCTCTCTCCTTTGTTATCGGGATTTCTTAGTACCTGTGACAGAGGGTAGAC